ATATTAGGCCTAATAATAATAATAAACCATCGTCTTCGTATGATTATTGTTGATTCATCTAGAAGGAATCTAATGCAATGGTTTAAACTTTAAACAATTACAGAGAGTGCATTTAAAAAAAATAACATTAAGCAAATTATCTTTGTTAGTTAACATGAAGTGTACTTGAATAAAATGGAAATTCTGAAACCCTACTAGCCGTAATAAACAAAACCTTTGAATTTCCTTCCCTTTTCTGAGACATATTAACAGTTAGTCCACATGCTAATTATGCTACTGTCACTTTAACCCATTGTTTCTGGACAGCAGTATAACAGAAGTCTTGACACTTGATGCAGAAAGTGCACAAGTCCTTACTTCAACTGTGAATGTAAAATGTGTTTGTGGTGTAGTTTATCCTCCGTTGAACCAGAAAGTCGTCAGAGGTTTTGTTCGCTGTTCACAGGCCAGTGAAATTCGTTTGAAACCCACCATGCAAAGTTACAATGTGCGCAAGAGTTACTTTACATAGTTTTTTACTTTGCATTTTACCTTGTACATACAAAGATGGCTGTGCAAACAGGTCATATTACTATCAAGTTTCCTAGACATGAACTTTACCAAATTGCCTCATGTTTTGGATTATGATATCCCCACATTTTGCAGTTGATGCTTATTTTAGGCCTAGCTGACGTATGCAAATGTCAGTTTCACTTCCTGTCCTGAAACGTGTGGGGTGGAAACAATTCCCAGGATCAGTACCACCATGATTCATGGGTGCTCTGCATTCATGTTTCCTCTGGCCTGCGGTTTATTCCCTCTTCTGTAAATTATTTTCTCTCAATGCATTGAGAAACCCTGACGGATGGCATGGAGCAGCTGGCGTGATGTTTATACGGAAATATGTGACATGTCAGGACCTTGTCTGGTTTGTAATCCTTGAGTAAAAGACAGTGAGGTCTTGGAAAAGAGTTGCAGCACTGTAGTTTGTGATTAACAACAGGCATGGCTTAAGCATTCGTCACTAACAGACCGTTAGTCACTTATCAGTGTATCAGGCCTGAATAACTTTTGCTTTGCTAATAATATCCCTCTCTATGAAAGAGGGCGTCCCCTTCTACACAACACAACCATACAGTAAAACCATTGCTTGCTAACAGCATTCAAAAAATCAATCAATCAATAGGAACCAGATGAGATTCTGGTGTACTGGTATAAGGCTTCCTTAAGGAATAGTTCACCCAAATAGAACTTGTGTTTTTTATTGCAAACTCATAGTATAGGTTTAAATGAGGAACAGATTATTTACTGATAATCGTGCTTGCCAGTTAAAGGGTTAGTTCACCCAAAAATGAAAATTGGGCTGTGTTTTACTCACCCCCGAGGCATCCTAGGTGTATATGACTTTCTTCTTTCAGACGAATCCAGTCAGTTATATTAAAAATTGTCTTTGATCTTTCAAGCTGTTTCATGGCACTCAGGGGGTGTTGCAGTGCTTCAGTCCAAAAGAACTGAAATAAAAATAGTCCATCCATAAAAAAAAGTGTCTCACACGGCTCCGGGGGGTGAACAAAGGCCTCCTGTAGTGAATCGATGCGTTTTTGTAAGAAAAATATCCATATTCAAAACGTAATAATCCCTTTAATCTAGCTTGCGCTCACTGTTGTACACAGAAGCAGTAACGGAACGCTGACCTCATACGTCATCCTCCCGGAGCTGCTTCTGTGTACAACTGCTGACGCAAGCTAGATTTACAAAAATTTTCATTTTTGGGTGAACTAACCCTTTAACCCTGTTGAAAAAAACAGCATATGCTGGTTAGGTATGTTTTGAAGCAGGGCAGCTGGTTTAAGCTGGTCATGAGCCAGTCCTAAGCAACTAGCTTCTGCTCAGGACCAGCTCATGACCAACTAAGGACCAGCTTAAACCAGCTGCCCTGCTTCAAAACATACCTAACCAGGAATGGGGAACTGTCAACCTCTGGAATTGAGTCAGCGAGTTGAACCTGAAAACCGGATGACTTTGTAAAGGAACTGGATGAACTGATTAATTGAAAAGATTTGACTCAAAAGGTTAAATCATTCTGATTCATGAAATGTGCCAAGGATTGCTGGGTTGGATTTTAAAGTTTTCAGTGATTAATGACTTAAATATGGGTCTGTTCTTTACGCTCAGCTATAATATGATTTCAGAAGTCATAAAATATAGCGCACAAGTCATATGGAGCCCTTTTGAAGCCGTTTTGAAGCCGTCTGAACTCACTACTGCAGTTTTAGTATACTGTACTTTGGCCACAAGATTGCCTTGTGAGATAATTTCTGACACAGTCTGCCGTTTTTAAAGTGTTTTGTGGACTATGTCCTGCACTCACAAACACATGCGGGCTGTACGTAACATGATCTTTCTGCCTGCTTTTTAAACGAATCTCCATGTTGCCTAATAAACAATTTATGGCATGAGCTCTTAGTGCTAATGAGGCCCATTCATTTTTTAAGTTCCCTTGCACTTTCACGTTCTCAGACTCGATGGATGACTAGCACAAGGCCATCTGGCTAATACTGTAAACTGTGTGTGTGAAAAAAATCAAGGTGTTGACTGTGTGCTGAGAGACAGAATGCATGCTGTTTTGACCTTTGATGAGACTGTGATGATCGCTATTCACTGGACCAGAGGATATTTTCAGTAATCACTCCACTAAAATCAAAATACACAACAACATCAGCTGTCTGAAGATCTGCTAAAGAAATATCATGTTACGCTGTGGATTCTGCAGTCGCTAACCTTTGAGTTCTGTGTGTTAACAGCAGCTCATACAGACAGAGGTCATCAGCTCTTCAGATTGTAAAGTTACAGATCTGTTTGAACAATTTACATTCTTAAAGGGACACTCCACCCCAAAATGAAAATTTTGTCATTAATCACTTACCCCCATGTCGTTCCAAACCCGTAAAAGCTTCGTTCGTCTTCGGAACACAATTTAAGATATTTTGGATGAAAACCGGGAGGCTTGTGACTGTCCCATTGACTGCCAAGTAAATAACACTGTCAAGGCCCAGAAAAGTATGAAAGACATCGTCAACTGGACGATGTCAACGTGAACTATTCTGACGATGTCTTTCATACTTTTCTGGGCCTTGACAGTGTTATTTACTTGGCAGTCAATGGGACAGTCACAAGCCTCCCGGTTTTCATCCAAAATATCTTAAATTGTGTTCCGAAGACGAACGAAGCTTTTACGGGTTTGGAACGACATGGGGGTAAGTGATTAATGACAATTTTCATTTTGGGTTGGAGTATCCCTTTAACACGTGCTGCACAATCATAATTATGACAGCAGCAGGTGCACTGATCTATAATTTACTTACCTGTTAAAAGACTGTCAATAAAATTTTAAGTTGTCAATTATGTATATGTCTACTGATTGGACAATTTCTAGATTTTGAAATTGACACAAAATAGTACTTATGGTTGATGACCAAGCAGTTGCTGATAGAAGATTCTTCTAAAATCTGAGAAAAGTAACATCCCCATATATCGACCCTGAAAGGCAATTAAAGCACTCGTTATTTATGCCCGCTCAGAGACATGATAAACTGCACTGTTCCAAATGCTTGTATTGATGTATTTACAATATGCTTGGTGCTCAGAGTGAAAATTGCATGGCATTATCAGTAGGGATCTAAAAATGTCTGCATCCTTCCTTCCTCTTTGTGCCGCCCTGTTAAGTGTACTCTGATCTCTTGATCAGATGCATAATTTTTACCCGAAATGACAGAAAACAAACTAGTAATTCCAAGAACAGTCAAAGCTTAAGTAAATATAACTCAACCCCAACAGAAAGGGTGTTTGAGAGGCAAGTGAGTATAAGATGAGGCTCTGTGGCTCCATCTGGCCTTGGTTTTTATTGACCGGATCTCTTTACGATCTGATCCGTTTATGTTTTGGCACTCTCATAATGCAAGTGAGTGTCTCTTTCCACCCAAAAATGAAAATTATGATGATTTACTCATCCTTATGTCATTTTCAACATTTATGGAGCACATTAGTAGAAGAATATTCATTCTTGACTTTCATTTGACAAAAGTGATCCATACAAGTTGCATGAAGATTCAAATAAACTTTAAAGGAAAAGTATTGGTTAAGAAAGGCATGAGGATGAGTTAATAATGACAATTATCATTTGTCTTTTATTTATTGTACAAAACCACCTGCTATCCTCAAACAGTTGCCATGGAAACTGCAGGTTTAGCCAATAGGTCGCCACTTGCAAAAGACCCCAAAACAAAATGTGTTTTAGTCACATTAAGTCACCAGTTTCGGGCTGGTTCAGTTCAACCCTCGCTTCTGCTTGCCATTAATTTGCTGGGAGAGCGAGAAGCTGCTGGCGGCCTAATATGGGTTGCAACGTGTCTTCCGTAACAAGACCGCTTTCCCAGAGGCAATTTCTTCTGCTCAGAGGGTGATTTTCCAAAGCTCAAGAGATTTTTGGGGAACTCATTTGTGTTTCATTAAGTTTCTTCAACGATTCCTAAGGAGAAAAGACAAGAGACACAAATAAAACATAGCTGACGGAATAAGAGAACAGATCTATGAAGCTGGTGTGGATAGCATGCTAAAATAACCAATAAAATGGTTATATTGAACCATATTGAAGATCATACTTTTTCTTGGCAAATCCAAGCATACTCTGAGACACTGTTGAAATCTCTTCTGAGCATTTTACCAGAAGAAAACAACCAATCTGAGAAGCATTGAACATCTTCATTGAACTTCTAAAGCAAGCAAATGGAATATTAAAGAGATCTCATTTGTCGGTGTCTTTTGGGACTGGCCTGAACTCATCTTTGATTAATTAGTCACCATTAGACCATAGAGCAATGTCAGTCTGCTCAGCTGAGAAAGGACTGCAGCTTATCACAACCATAAGCTGCAGTCATCCACCATGCCGCAGCCACCAGCATCAGCCAGCCTAAACCTTGGGGCCTCAGCTAGAGGCAGTGATAGACAAACGGGGGTGGGGCATTTTGGTGACAGCTGGCCTCTATAAATAACCCCAGCGGGTGGAGGCGGAGAGCAGAATCCTGCAGTGCGCGCCACATTGCCTTATGGCCAATCAGAGGCAACCATGAGACCTACATCCTCAAGAGTGGGGCCAAACATTGCCAACATACAGTATATGCCTAGTTTCGAAGGCCTACTTTCTTTGATTGTCTTGAGCACAAGGGAGGATGCAGATCAGGTAACGGCAAGTAAAGGTGGTGATCATGAATAGATAAATGATTAAGACAAGCTTTTAATCGCATCTTCGGTTACCGTGACATTCGGCTTTTGTCACAGTCACATGCAGGATAGTCTGTCAGATAAGGTGAAGGCATGTCAGTACACAGATAAACATATGAACAAAATACCCAAGTTTAGCAAAGGTACTACTTTAGCTTGGGGCTGTTAGCGTCCGTGGGTCATGTGAGTCATCCAATGTCGTGAGCTAGTCATAGTGGCATTTTTATAACTTTAGAAAATCACAAAGATGCTTTACTGTTTCTTGTTTTGTTTCATGTGAATTTATAGTGTATTGAACTTTTTTCAACTTGGAAAAACATTTGGAAACAGATTTTGCACTGTTGTGGTTGCATGACATCACACTAACATTGTAGCACCTGGGGAGATATACAAAGTAAAAGTTAGCTTTCACTTTCAAGCAAATTAAATACATAAATGAGTCAAAGTTACTATGTACAGCATGGTAAATTACCCTTTCTGTTGATAATTTTACCTGGTAGCATTGTGTAGCATTATTTGTCCTCTGCAATTTGGTTGTTTGTTGACGAATGAACACTTGCTATTGAAATGCTAGCGCTGTAATTTCATTCTTGCCTCTTGTCTTTCACAGCCTTTTGCACAATGGTGTTGCATCCAACCAAAAGATATCTCAAAGATGCCAGAGAGTGCGTGGAAGCTGGTCTTCTACACAATGTCGTGGTCATACAGCACATACCTTTTGTTTTTCACTAGCTATTCCTTCTTTCAAAACCCCCCATCTGTGTTTTACGGTAAGCTTCATACCTGATGCATGTCCTGTTTTTGTAAGTAATAATTGTTTTTTTAAACCCTGTCAGGCCTGTATAACTCAACCCTTGATTTCTTACAATGATATGAGTTGTTTAGTAAACAAATTGCATGCTACTTTTAAATGGTATAAATATACTTAATATCAACTGAAATATACTTAGTTATCATTGAAAGTCCAACACAAGTTTACAAGGGAGTTACACACCTTGAGGAAAATGTTAAATGTTTAATGATTAAAGATCTGGGCCCGTATTCACAAAACATTTTATCTTAACACTAAGAGTTCTCCTAAATAGCAATTTTAGTCACATTAAGTCACCAGTTTCGGGCTGGTTCAGTTCAACCCTCGCTTCTGCTTGCCATTAATTTGCTGGGAGAGCGAGAAGCTGCTGGCGGCCTAATATGGGTTGCAACGTGTCTTCCGTAACAAGACCGCTTTCCCAGAGGCAATTTCTTCTGCTCAGAGGGTGATTTTCCAAAGCTCAAGAGATTTTTGGGGAACTCATTTGTGTTTCATTAAGTTTCTTCAACGATTCCTAAGGAGAAAAGACAAGAGACACAAATAAAACATAGCTGACGGAATAAGAGAACAGATCTATGAAGCTGGTGTGGATAGCATGCTAAAATAACCAATAAAATGGTTATATTGAACCATATTGAAGATCATACTTTTTCTTGGCAAATCCAAGCATACTCTGAGACACTGTTGAAATCTCTTCTGAGTATTTTACCAGAAGAAAACAACCAATCTGAGAAGCATTGAACATCTTCATTGAACTTCTAAAGCAAGCAAATGGAATATTAAAGAGATCTCATTTGTCGGTGTCTTTTGGGACTGGCCTGAACTCATCTTTGATTAATTAGTCACCATTAGACCATAGAGCAATGTCAGGCACTGCACGATTTTAGCCTGATTTTTCACTCGCCGACAGGTTTTGCGAAATCGCCGACAAATGCCTGAAATCAGAGGCAAATCGGTGCTCGTTCACATGAGTGACAATCACGCAGTGTGAATTATCAAAGACGTGGTCTGAGGGAATCGCTGATGCGTCGCCGACACCCGTGAAATATTTGGCATGCTAAATATCTGGAGCTGTTAGCGATTCACAATCACGCAGTGTGAAATGAGTTCTGACTGAAAAACACATCGGCGATGACCTACAGCCAATGAGAGACCAAGATACAGGGCAGCGGGAAGTTCGGGGAGGAGTTATATGAAACGTAGTTTGCAGACCAGTGTTGGCAAATCCGCGATTGCCGCCGGTTGTTTTTTATGTCAGCAGGTTGAAGCGACCCCAATAACGTGATATTTAGGCCATGGAATGTGAATTGTACCAGGAGAACCCCGCCAAAAAAATGTGTATTTTACCCCATGAAAGCGATTTTTACTGGGGGACCCCCTCGAAAGCAATTGGGCTATTTTCAGGCTAGTTTTGAGTAGTAATTGGGCGGGTTTTTTAGCAAAAACCTGGCAACCCTGCACCAGACAGAGCTGTCGGCGATTCTTCCTGTTGTAAAGTCATGCAGTGTGTAACCTCCATCGTGCAGTGTGAACACAGCAGCAACTGAATGCTACCCCAGATAGTCGTTCAGTGTGAAACCAACAGTGATGCGACGTCTTTGAAAATCGTGCAGTGTGAACTCGGCATAAGGAATAGCGAGAAGTCTTAAGCTAAGAGTAAGGGTGGGGTTGACCTCGTTGCTATGGATGATGTCAAGCATGCTTACTAACTATGCACAGTGATTGGCTGATTGTCTCTGTCAGAGATTTATTCATAGAAATATTGTAGAATGCAATATTATGCTGCCATATTCAAATAAAGGTTTAAAAATGAAAAATGTTAATTGCCACATTCATAAATAAAGATTATAAAATGCAGGATAAGTGTCACTAATTAAACAAGTATATGTTCAGCTTGTTGTCAGCCTCTTACACGTATGCTTCTCATAATTAGTTAATATGCATATAAACAGCCTTTTAATTAACAGAGTAGAATCATCATGGCTGATAGTAATACATGCAAATGTAAAAAAAAAAAAAACTGGATGCAAGAACAGCTGTTACTTCTTGCCCAACTGGTTAATGAAAACAAGGATATACTCAAAGGAAAATTTGGGGTTGGGATAACCTCCAAAACCAAAGCCGATACCTTTTTAAAGTGGTCATATAATGCTACATGCACTTTTACAAGTTGTTTGAACTGAAATGTGTGTTGGCAGTGTGTGTACACAACCACCCTAAAATTATAAAAATTCACCCAGTGGTTTTTTGTTAATCTACTAAAATCTTTCCCCCTTTCTCAAATCGAGCCGATCTCAGATGCCTGTCTGTGTGACGTCGCACAGACAGGCCCCTCCCACGATAGTTTGATTGACCGTAGCGTTTCAGCACAGACTCGACTGGCGTCTTACACCCGCCCTGAGTGACTGTCATCAGTCCATCATTGTTTCACCGCCGGAGGAGTTGTAGACAAGAATGACTCCTAAGCGACTGAGGTCTTCTGTTGTTGGATGTAATAATGAACATAGCAGTCGTCGTTTACTCCTGACATCTGAGCCGCTGAAGACGCAGTGGATTACGTTTGTTTTTGAAGAGAATGCGCCCCCGATCTACATAAATGCGTCTATGTTCGCGTGAATCATTCGTGATCCAGCTTCACCTCCAGAAGAAGTGAGTGTAAGGTTTTTTTAACGAATCTTTGCAAATCGCCTTTCCTAATAATGTGCTAATTAGCAAGTTTCATGATGAATGCAGCTAAAGTAAACAGTCTCTCTGAGAGTTCCTCGGAAGTGAGGGGCGGGGTCAGCAGAGCTCATTAACATTTAAAGGAAAATGCTACAAATCTGCATGCTCTGAAAAGCTGTTTTTGACAGGGTAAAAAAGGTGTTTTTTACACTACCATTGAGAAATTTTAACCAAACTGTTACAGACTTTTCAAGACCCTAAAGAATCATATCAACTTGTGGAAAATGGGTATCCTATGACCCCTTTAAAAGGTCATTATCATCAAATGTTTCTAAAATGTTTATGTTCCGAGGCAGACTGCCGGCAACAGCCGTTTTAGGATAGTTTGTGACTTGGTCTTAGTGACTTAGGAGTCCTCTTCACTACTCCTAACATTTCAGATTTAGGAGCTAGTTTTAGTGCTAAAACGCTTTGTAAAATACTCTGAGCAAAAATTTAGCAGTCCTAAATTTAGGATTGACACGCCCATTATTTTTAATATTTTCTTAAATCGGCGAGTTATGAGCTACTTTTAGCCCCAAGATATTTTGTGAATATGGGCCCTGATGAATAAACATTAAAGGTCACAAGTTGCTATTATCTGTTAACACTCCTTATCAACACAATGGAGCCCCATTTACTTTGGCCACTGATCACTATTTACGCTCCCATTGGTTGTTGCTGTATCATGCCATGGCTTACTTGCAAGTTTGTCACATTACCAAAGATGATTGATGTTGCCGGAAACCGTCAACTGTCATTGAAAATGAATGGGATCGTCAGGTGGCAAATCACTGATAGTGTGAATGCCCCTTGACAGCAACATACAAACAACTTTAATCTCTACTGTATCAGTATAAACCATCTGTTTTATGAGGCCAGTGTTCAACTTTTTAAAAGTCAAGGTTATTGCCATCTAGTGTTGTTCTTTTTATGGTTGTGGAGTTCACTTGGAGAACTCAGTGTCACTTGCTTGTTCTCTCTTTCTTGGTTTAGACTGGAAGAGTGGGATGTCGGTTCCGACTGATATCACAATAGCTTACCTAATCCAGGGCAGCTTCTACGGCCATTCCATATATGCCACCATCTACATGGACGCCTGGAGGAAGGACTCCCTTGTGATGGTGGTGCATCACTTCATCACTCTGGCCCTAATCACATTCTCCTATGCCTTCAGGTCAGGCAAATTTACAGACTATGTTTAAGCAGTGATGCTACAGCCTGTCGAAATGGGGGTTTGAAGTTCTAGTTCCAACAATAACAATTTACAGAACTTACAAATAACCAACTCAAATTATATGCCACTAAAAAGCACAGTTGATAAACCACTCATCATTGTTCATATCATCCTCAGATACCACAACATTGGCATTCTCGTCCTCTTTCTTCATGACATCAATGACGTTCAGTTGGAGTTCACCAAGCTCAACGTTTACTTCAAGACCCGGGGAGGGAAAGAGTACCTCATCAATGATGTCCTGTCCAACATGGGTGCCATTAGTTTTAGCATCACATGGTAAGGTTTGCCTGTTGTTCAAGAAACCAGAAGTTTTCTTATGGATGCATATAGTAACACAGCATTGAAACGTTATAGTAGTCTAAAAGTGATTTGCAGAATTACGCCCACATCCTTTATTGGTCCTGGAACAACATTCCCATCAACTGATCATTGCCCTAAAATTTTAGGGATGGGTTTGCTCAATCCACCACTTTCATCTGACAAAACTTGTAATAATTTATGGACCTAAGTTCTGGAGTAGGGTAGATCTGTAGAAGCAGGATTGGGTGTTTGATTAGGGCTGGAGGTAAACTCTGCAGGACACTGGCCCTTAAAGGCCAGAATTTCCCACCCCTGCTCTACAATATCCCTTGTACATGTAACAACTACTTTGTAACTGATTTTTTTTGTTTGTTTGTGTTGCAGATGCCTTCACATGTGAGCTAGTTTGTTCTTGTTATTTGTGCAGGTTTTGGTTCCGTTTGTACTGGTTCCCCCTCAAAGTTCTGTGGGCCTCCTGTGTCACCAGCATCCAGTCGGTTCCCAACATCCCTTTCTATTTCTTCTTCAACACACTCCTGTTTGCCCTGCTCCTCATGAATATCTACTGGTTCCTGGTAAGAATGGGTAGTTTAAGAACACAACAGCAGTGTAGTGTAGCTCAGGGTTAGTAACCCGAAGGTTGCTGGCTTGAGCCTTGCAGTGAGTCCACTGTGAGCTATCATCAAGTCAATTAGGCCCCGAATGTGTAATCTTACTGTCCTGAAATCAGTAGTATCAGATCATGTTAGCTAGATATCTAGCAGATACTTTATCCAAAGTGTCTTGCTGTACACTCACAACATGAACAGTGCACACTAACTAACCTGGCTTTAACTGTAACTTGAAATATAACCTACAAACTTCATATAACTGGCTTAGAATCCAATTAACTACCACCATTTAACCTGTTCAAGTTGCATTGCATTGCTATGAAATGTCTATGTAAAGGTCAGACATTTTTGTTCCTTTTTGCAGTTCATTGTACTGTTCGTGGGGAAGGTCCTGACGGGCCAGATGAAGGAGGTAAATGACGTGCGGGAGTACGAGGATGAGGACCTAAAGGAGAAAAAAGACACTAATGATCAGATGTCTACTGAAGGGTAAGCAAAGAAATGCAGCAGTCTGTGGTTAGCGCAGGTTTACAGCATGTGCATGTAACGAAGAGGAAGTCGTGTGGTCAACTAGCAGTTCAGGCAGCACTGAGAGCTGTAGATTCAACGACCTTGAGTGAACCAAAATGTTTTTGCCTATTCCTACTGGTATTTATTGCTGTGGTGTACACATGCACTTAACCTATAAACTTGCTCATTCCAACATGACCTGAAGGCAGGATAATTGCTTTACTAAAATGTTATCCCAACTAGACCAGAAAAGTATATAAAACAAAGCTATATTAGACACTTGATTTCCACTTAATCTGAGCCCCATTTCTTTAAAAGTTTCAGAGTTGGGCAGGAATAGCTTTAGTTTTAGGGTAACACAGTCAGAGATCACCGAGTGTGATGGTCCGTTTCGACCTGATCTGTGAAACGTGGAGATTCTCATGTATATGTGACTAGCCTCATGGCATTAGTCCTGTCCTTATCTCTCGGACCTTGAAGTGAAGTGATATCCAGCCATGCCACATGCATCCTGCAATTACCACCTCCTAGCCTGACAGTGTACGTTTCACGTCTCTTCCTTCCTCTTAGGAAACACGTGCAGAACGGGATCACCAAGAAGAAACATCTATAATGTCTAGGTGCTGCCACCTGCAGGCACTTAACGATGACGGCAAGGTACTAATATGGCCTAGTTTGATTGTAACCTCAGAACGCCAAGGTGCTTGGACAGTTATAAGAAGAAACAATATCGACCATCATTTGTGTTTTATCTCTATTGTTTTTTTTATCACTGTTATTATAATTGTAATCATAGCACTGTGATTGTTATCTCTCTTGTGTATTGCTTAATTTTTTTTACTTTATTTTATTTTAAGTTAAATGAGTGACCTTTCACTGATAATTAGGAACTTACGGCTGGAGTGCCTATGATATCTCTGCCCGTGAGAAACAAGCCCATGCATTTTGGAGAACAGCGGAAACCATGATAACCAGGTTTTGTGGTCGTCATCTGGACCACAGTTCGTTTTAGACCACTGTTTTTGTCGTTCTGATGCATCTATTTTCATTCCAGGTGTGAAAAAAATACAAATGGTTAATACGTAACTTGTAGTAGTGAGTATTAGTGGAGTGGTTCTCAGATGGTCGAAGGTCTGATCTGAAAAGCAGGAAAAGGAAAATTTAAAAGCGTATAATGTTAGATGCAAATTATAAAATGCAATTAACTATGTAATCACACATAGTTAGGGGAGTGAAACAAAACAAATTCTTACCATGTCTTTTGTTGTTTGCGTCAAAGGGCAGGCTGTGCGTCCAATCACACATCAGTATTTTGGCACAAATTCATGTTCATCCATCACTTTCGCAGTGTGGGCTTAAGAATATTAACACTTTTAAATTAAGGAATTTAAAACAACAACAACAAAAAAGTACAATACATAATATAACAATCAGTATCTTGTTGATCAGTACCTCAAAACCAGTTGACAACCTCTGTACTAGTACATCTTTAGTACTACTAAGTTGAAGTTATCCAACTAGCTTGCACCCTATGCAGGGTTACAACAACAAATCATGACCTGCATCAATCAAAATTGTATTTGTACAGTATTACCGTGTTTGAATGTACAAGGGAATCACTTTCAATGTTAGTATAATAATACTGCTTGCATTCCTTCCGTCGATTATATTTTTTCCCCGCTAGCAACCGCTGCTGTAATGGCGCAATCTAAGCTAGCTTCTGATTGGCTAAATCTTTACACTCAGATGCTATATCGTGTTTATTTTACAAAAAATATAGATCGAGAACTTATAATTGATAGAGGATGATTATTCAGTCCGACATTTTTTGCTACCTACTCAAATTAATCAAAGTATTTATGCAGATGTTGTATGCAGGAACGCATGATATTTGAGAATATGCTGTATTAAGAAATCTTACGACAAAAGACCAAATGGAACTGATATTATCTCCAGTATTGATTACTCCAGAACTATCGCAATACTTGAATAGTTGATTTGCCTACTGTATCAAAAGTTCCATTGTGGATGAAGCTCATAATCTTCGCACACAAATGCTGATGAGGTCTGTGTGTTGCTATGGTCGCGTCTTCCCATCGAGATGCTAGCTTGAGCTAAGAGCTAGCCGCTTATGGTTTTGGATGTTTTGTTTTTGCGTGAAATATTCCTTAACGGAATTCATACCGCTTTTGAGGTGTTTTCTATGTATACGTCCATTATTTATAACGCAGCCGTTTATAATGGTACTGTCAAAGGAGTTTAGTCAGTTTCTAGTCTTCAGGTATTTTTACCCGTCATGTCAAATCACTGGGGGAAAAAAACAAAAAACACGTTGTAGTTAAATGCCGTTGTGGTTAGATGGTAACCCTCATTCTGCGAAACTTTTTCAGTGTTTGTTTGGAGTCAGAATTCGGGTTACCAACTAGCAATAACCGTTAAACCCCACCATACACTCCATTGATATATATATATTTTTTAAATTCTTAAAGGGGTCATATGATGCGATTTCAATTTTTCCTTTCTCTTTGGAGTGTTACAAGCTCTTGGTGCATAAAGAAGATCTGTCAAGTTGCAAAGACTAAAGTCTCAAATCCAAAGAGATATTCTTTATAAAAGTTAAGACTTGTCCACACCTTCCTAAAACGGCTCGTTCTAACACGCCCCACATATCTACCTCACTGTGTGGGAAGATTTGCATAACGCCGCCCAAATGTTCACGCAAAGAAAGAAGGCCTAACTTTTATTCTCGCTGTAGTATTGTTGTTGCCACCGTCGCCATGTTGTGGCGCTGTGTGCTTCGTTGTGAAAGTGAAACTACTTTGTTTGGTCTTCCAAAAGAGGACGATATCTGTTTCGTCATGCCTAGAGCTGATCCGTGCTGGTCGCTGAGGAAATACTTCCAACTTTGAGCTGTGGATCGCTGGATCTGCTTTTACCGTGGACGAAGCGGAGTCCAGCCCAGGGTTGTCACATGTGGTTGTCGCAGGCATCACAGTATGGTAAGGGACGTAACATTTCCGTCACACGCTTGAGGTATTCGGCCAATCACAATGCACTGGATAGCTGGCCAATCAGAGCACACCTCGCTTTTCAGACCGATGAGCTTTGTAAAAATCGACACGTTTCAGAAAGGCAGGGCATAGAGGAGAAACAACAATGTACAGTATGAGGAAAATAACGTGTTTTTTTTAACCTTAAACCACAAACACATTTCATTACACCAAATACACAAAATAATGTTCTTTTTAGCAACATCATATGACCCCTTTAAGTTCTGGATTGTTTGTTTTTCATATAGGAAATAATTGAATTGCATTTAAGAATATAATCAAAATGTGGTAAGTTTCTAGAAAAGTGCCAAAAATAAATATCAAACCCCCTGAGTGTTATGAAAAGCAACTTTAATTTGAAGTGGGGTATTTTGCTATATCTGCGTTATAAAATGTTATTTATTTAAAATTGCACTGTAATTTCTTACTACTGTTTTTCCTGTAAATGTATTTTAGCAATAGTAGCAACTAGGGGGATTTATACAGATTCATTTTAACATGGAAAAAATTAGTTATTAGATTTGTTTCAACATTTTTCTTGGACCATTGATTCACTCTTTTCCTTGAATTCGACCCGACCACTAGGAGTAACAGGTATTATCTCATTCGTAATGGAACAATTTTAATCATTCCAGTTGAATAAGTGAATTGAACCCAACTGTGTTGTCACGTTTTTCCATTTAATAAAAACTGTTCAAAGAAAACGAGTGAAATATTTTCTTAATTCAACAAAAACCTTTATTTTTTTTCTTCATCCTTAAGAATCAAGATTATGTAGGCCTACCTCTGATTTGCAAAGTTTAATCGAGTTTGGGGATAAAAAAAAATTAAATCAGTGCATGTCGAAGCGTATCAGCTTCCATAACAGCAAATTTGTACAACACCCGCTTCCTTTTACGAAAGCAGAAGTGAACTGATGTCAAAAACCACACGTGGAATTAGGATAGAAGAAATGGGAGTTATAAAATGTCTTGAAAATCATGGAATAATTAATATTAGTCTTTTGAGGAAAAACCTTAGGATAAAAGAATATGCAAAACATGAAATGCCAGAATTCCAAACATCACGTAATCGATATATATATATATAATACTCTCTCCGAAGAGAATCAGCAGTCAGAGTTGAGACTCGTGTGAGCACGTGACGAAGATTGAGGAACGCCGACAGACTTCTACTCAACCAGCAACGATTTTGGCCCACTTTGTAGTAGCTGCCAGTGAAGAATAACCACACAAGGAAAGGCTTTCAGGAAACACTGCTTAGAAGTACAATCCGTAACTGATGCAAGAGCACACATTTCATGACAAAATTGAGATCAACTCCATTCGAAAAATTACAGATTGTATTTGAGGCAACGCTGAGACGAGGAAGACTTGAAAGGCTAGCGGAGATGTAGTGGATGAAACTTGACATGGAAATCAACATTCATTCTTCAGAAAACTAAATCAAACAAACAAACAAACTAGTGAAATAAAGAAAGCAAACACACTCTTGGCTCTGCTGTGAGACCCCCGCGGCCCCTCGTATTGCATGTGTGTGAAGAGATGGTTGCGGGTTAGTGCTGTTTGACCCGAGGAGCCGTGACTCTACGCAGGAAACTATACAGAAGTCCAAAATTCTGCAGGAAAACAAGAATTAGCATTTACAAAGAATTAACTTTTTTGTAATATGGTAATGACATATTTAATTTTTTAATATACATATATATATATGAAATAAGACAATGGTTAACAAAAAATATAAATTATATATAAGTATAAAAAGTTATTTAACTGAAACATACATACATATACATACACACATATATATATATATATATATACATACACATGCAAAATAAAATATTAATATCATTTAATAATATATTTATAATATAGCATATAAAATATATATATATATATATAAAATGTATTTTATTTTAGCTAGTTGCCAAGAAAATGTCTCATTTTCATCAACTTCACCTTGATGTACTGAAAAAATATATATGAAAAAAAGAAATAATAAACTATATAAACATTTTTTAATTGATACTAAAACAATACTAAAATGATAAAATGATGCTCAAAGACAGATATTACAAAATATATTTTATTATAGTAATGAGAAGAATAATACAACAATGAAATAAAGACGTATTATATATTTGTATTTAAATGTATTATGTATTTAACAGTTAAGTGTGAGTGTGTGTGTATATTTTTCAATTTGATTAAAAACCATTCCTATAATATTATAATAACATAATATTAAAATATAAACAGAAAATTTCTAAAATAAATATCAAATTTTTTTTTTGATTTGGGGGTGAAATGTAACTACACAATTATATATTGCATGCGAAGAGTGGACTTTTTTTTTTTTTATTAGAAAAAAAATAAAAATCACTGCACTAAATATGTCTGAATATTTGTCTTACCTGGATGGCCAAATACAGCACTCCAAGATAAGATGCGATACAGAAGGCTAGCAGCAGGTCGAAGATCGCTGGTTTTACTCTGGATCGTTACAAATACAACATAATTATTCAAACAACCCTGGGTTAATCATACTTGTAGAAGTTAAATAGGGGTCAATTATTAACATCATTAACCTCATAGATATGAAAATTTAGGATTTACAAATGTACTGCGTGCAACCTTGAAACCTGGGTTAAATTCATTACTAACTTGGGTTTAATCATGAAATACAAAACAATATCTCATAATGTTTAAAATAATCCAGGATTAACAAAGTAAACCTTAACAGCTGGAATAGTATGCTAGATATTTAAATTGCAGGCTCTAATTTAAAGGAACACTCCACTATTTTTGAAAATAGGCTAATTTTCCAACTCCCCTAGAGTTAAACAGTTGAGTTTTACCGTTTTCGAATCCATTCAGCTGATCTGCGGGTCTGGCGGTAGCACTTTTAGCTGTAGCTTAGCATAGATCATTGAATCGGATTAGACCGTTAGCATCTCGCTCAAAAATGACCAAAGAGTTTCGATATTTTTCCTATTTAAAACTTGACTCTTCTG